CCATGTACTTGCATATGACTCTAGTATAGGATTCTTACCAATATATTATGATAGTGATGAGCACCTTGTTTATATTTGTGCTCATCCCCACCTGCTCTTCAAGGATGCAGGTTAAGCACGTGTTGGGCATGACGAGGCTGAAGACGAGTGGATGATCAAACATTATTGATGCTTTATATTACTTCTGCATGCTTTGGTATTTATGTTGAGAGTATCAGACTTTGTTATTTATCCTATTGCCTTTGGAATTGGTTGAACTGTTGAACCATGTGGATTTATTGTTATCAGTTTGGATTACGTTGACAATCCTACTGCTAGATATGTTGAAATCTAGTCTTGGAACTTGAATTATGTTGAATATTCTCGTTTCCTTTATGCTGATTATGTGGTTAACTTTGAAAGGTTCTCGAGTAGCGCCAAATGTTTTATAAATCGACAAATGGTTTTCGAAAATTTGAAACTAGATTTTTGGATAAGTCTGGAATTGTCTTTAAAAATCTTTGGGGCGTTACAAAATCGTTCGACCTAGGCTGGTTAAGAATAGACTTGTTCGGTAACGTATTGTCTATATGCTAATTGATTCGTTATTGATTTGTTTACGTTTATTCTCTTGTTTCGTGAGATATTGAGAATGAGCCTCTAGATGAGTTAGTTCATGAGTCCTTTAGTTGAGTAATTGTCTGTTTGTAAATTGTTTTGAGAACCAGAAGCGATATCCCCGATACCCTAGCCCTCTTTATCATTATTCGAATTTAAACTTTAATTTGCAAGTTAAAATTGCTAGCTTGTTTTTATTATTCGTAGTTGATAATCAAAACCCCAAAATTTGAATTATAGTGTTTAGGAAATTCTTTTCCCTTTTCTTGTGATTGAATATCCGTACATATAATCCGGCTAACCTTCCTTGTGAGACTACCCGGTGTCAAATCTTTCGATTCTACTCCGATAAAAATATCTACAACAGCGTGGTGCGAGGAGATGGGAATATTAATAGCTAGAAAAACAGGCTAAAACATCTAAGGCATAATATGAACCGAGGAGGCATCGGGTAAATGGGATCCAGGTAAATTCCCTTTTGTAGTATACCTCGAATAAGAGGGACATTTTTCGAATATTTGAACATTCAAATTATCGAGAAGCACTTTGCCTCCGTCGCTCACCCGCAAGCCAACGGACAAGTGGAGGTGACCAACAGGATCATATTAAACGGGCTGAAAACAAGACTTGAGAAAGCCTCGGGGGCGTGGGTCGGCGAGCTAACATCTGTACTCTGGGCGTACAGGACCACCCCGAGTTCGACTATAGGGGAGACGCCTTTCAGTCTGGTATATGGAATGGAGGCACTTTTGCCAGTCGAGCTGGAGTTACAATCCCAGCGA